GGGGGGGTAAGAGGTGTGATGTATCATTTGGGGAAAGAGTAATGCTAGAGGATCTTACAGTAATGTTATTGGGACTTAATTTATTAACTTAATTTGCTGACCTAATTTACTATGACATTTGAATTAATTACAGGACCCTTCAAATATTGGAACTTGATGTTGATCTAATGGTTCTACTAAAGCGACATCATTACGTTAGCAAATTAGATCAGATTTTTAAGTCCAATTAGTATTACTCGAGGATCTTATTTGGGAACCTTATTTAGGGATTTAATGATGTATCTTTAATGCAATTATTAAATTAGTTGTGAGTTCTAATGTTAAATGAAACTCATAACCAATTTGGCTTCAATGTAATTATTAAATTAATTGTGAATTCTAATGTTAGATGAAATTCATAACTAATTTAATAGTTGTACATCATTAGGTCCTTAAAGAAGGTTCCCAAATAAGATCCAAATAACATTTCCCTTGGAAAAATGACTATTTACACCTTCGGACTATAAAAATAACTATAAATTATAATGTCAGCCACTAATATTTGGATTCATTGTTTTGTCATCCTCAGTATTTTAGAATTTGTTAATTTGGTAAGAATTTATAATTTTATTAAAATTGGTCAAAAAGTTAGCCAGTGAGAGAGAGGGGGAGGGAGAAAATGGTTGGGCACCCCCTAACTGACACCCTCCCCCTCTAATGACTTATCCATAGAACCCTTAACCCTCGACCCTCTCTTGTAGTCCCCTCTGTCCTTTCTCTCTCTTTACACCCTCCCTAAACCCCCATTGTCCTTTTTCCTTTCTCCACTTCCCTCCTCGTCTCTGCCTCTACCCCCTCTCACTCTATCCCATTCCCTCTCCTTGTCTCCCTTACCACAATCCCTTCTCTTTCTTAACATGCATTCCCACAAAGCACGTCCAACTCTTTTCTTTACATGTATTATCAATTGTTATGTTTGTTCAAGGCCACATAATGGAAAATGATTTTCTTTCTTTTCTAATGTACAAGTGGAGCACCTTCTCAAACTCTGTCTAAAAAGCATCTTATTCTCGCAATTTAAAAAGGAGAAATTCTAGATTGCACAAGACTCTTTTTTTGGAGGTGGTGTGTATTGGGTGATGAAAATACTAAAATGTCAAGGGTTGGTCAGAGAACAAATTTAAAAATTAGAAAACATGATTATAATTTACTCTAAAACTTACTTCTTTCCAATTTATTTAGGTGTTTCCAATATAGTGATGGCAAATTTCTCGTTCAGCAAGCATGCTCAAATTTGCCAAAATTCTTAGGTAGATTCACTCCTCAATCCTCGTAAGTTAAAAAAAAATATTGGGAATGCGCGATCTATTTTTGCCTCACCAAATTCATCTGTCATTAATGAAAGAGAGATTCACTTGTATATAATAGATAATATTAAATTTATGATAAATGATCCATCACAATTTTTTTTAAAAAAATATGTATTAAGAGGATAGTATAAAGAAGAGAATGTGGAGCTAATGTGTGGAATGGTGTTATATAGAGATTGCATAAATGTGTGGGGTGTTGGGGGAAGCATTAAACCAAAAAAGCACTAAGCTCTAAGTTTCTTGAATCAGCAATGACCATCCAAGGGACACCTCATCTCCTTTCGTCCCCTTTTACCAACGTAGAGTAATTACTATAAGAGAACCATCCGATGGAGAAAATAAAGCTACAATTATCATTCACTTAGGAGACAGAATAAAAACTCTCTCTCTCTCTCTGTCCGTCTCTCTCTCTCTCCAAAAGTTCTTCCGAAACACCTCATCAACAACCCATTTTCTATCCCCTTGAATTAGCCAAGTTTTGAAGGGGAAAAACACAATCACCTGATCAGATAGATACCCATTTTCACTTCCTTTTAAGTTTGATTGAAATCGTTCCGGTTATGGAGATATTTAACACCAATAATTGGCATATCCCACATGGGTTTTGAGGATTCTTTGGCTCATATGACATGTAATCGTTGTATCTGAATTTTTTGTTTCTCGATCTGGAACGATCATAATGTACAGATTCAGAAGTTACCTATATCTCACTATGTTCTGGTTTTACGGGTTTTTATATAATTTTCAATTGGTTCTTCTGTGTTACGTGCTGTATTGAACTTCTTTTCTGGATTATCTGATGGTCCTTAGATGTCTGGCTTGTTGACGATCAGATTTTATAGTCAATTTTCATTTAGAATGGTTGATAATTGTAATCCCTGTTCTGGGTGTGTTCCGATCATACCTGTCTTGTTTAGTTTTCTTTGGTTGTGTTGTATCTATACTCTATCAGTTGAGTTTTGATTGTTTGAGTATTTTTGTGTGTGTGTCAATGTTTACTTGGTGTTAGTTGATTTTATCAATCTCTGATACCTCTTGTTTCGGATAGATTGAATTCGGATTCTGTATGTGTGTGTGTGTGTGTGTGTGTGTTTTGTCTAGCTTAATTTGTATGATCGGATGACAAAGCTCTATGCTTTTCAGTTCCATTGTTGATAAATTTGATCGATGTGGTATCTTTCATTCATTGAAAGAACTAAGTTTTGTGGCAATTTTGACTTTTGATCAATCTATTCTATTGCATTTACATCTGGTCATTTAGCATCATTTCTTTGGTTAGTAAACGGTTTGTATGCATTATACCTCTCATTGTTAGTAGGCAAAATGTGTCTCGTAATTCAGTTCACTTTTTCTTTTTTTATTCCTTAATGTGTGTTTTTTTATGCTCATATGTTACTTTTGTAGGTTTAAGACTTGAAGTTTACTGATCAATTCATAATTCGAGGTGCATATTTCTGCCCATAATGATCACTACTATTTTAATCGGGCAAAAAAAATAAACAATGGAAGTTTGAGTTTGGATACCATATTTGAGTCTTTGGAGAACGTAATGTAGTAATTTTTGCATGCGCTTTTTTTAATTTCCAGCATTTGGGAATATTCCCGTCTGCCTAGTTTGGGCACTGCAGACTTAAGCAGTGCCCATGGATGCCGCCAGGAGCAGAACCCCTACTATTCAATACCATAGCATACCTGACGAACCTATCGCTGCTCTTGTTACCTCCCCTGTACCTGCATTTCAGCGACAACAGCGACATTGCTTTGGGGATGCAAGTCCTGGGGAATTTCCATTGTCTGCCAAACCCTCTATCGTTCTTCATGTCCTTACCGGGTGTAATTTGGACGCCCAAGATCTTGCGAAACTAGAGGCAAGTACTTTGTTTCTTTCCGTTTTAATAGTGAAGCTCTTTGTTGATGTGAGAATTGATAATGCTGCTGATTGAATTATAATTGTATGTTTGCAGGCAACATGTTCCTTCTTCAGGCAGCCTGCACAATTTACCCCTGATTTTGAGCTGTCTTTATCTGAGCTTGCAGCTCTGGATATGTGCCTAAGGAGGGCAATATTTCAGCCAATGACGGAAGAAGAACGTCAATATTTGAAGCAAAGATGTGGGGGTTCCTGGAAATTGGTCCTGAGGTTTTTGCTGGCTGGAGAAGCATGTTCCAGGAGGGAGAAGTCACAAGCAATAGCAGGTCCAGGTCACAGTATTGCCGTGACTTCGAAGGGAGTTGTTTATTCATTTGGATCTAACAGCTCGGGACAGCTGGGACATGGCACTACAGAAGAAGAGTGGCGACCTCACCAAATCAGGTTGCTAATTCCTTTTCATTGTTATAGACCTGATATAGTAAAAGCAAGAAAATAGAGAGAGATATATAGTTGTGACGGAAGGTAATCTGATGGAACTCATTGTGTTGCAGATCTCTGCAAGGCATTCGTATTATTCAAGCAGCTGCTGGGGCTGGTCGAACAATGCTGATTAGCGATGGTGGGCAGGTATACGCCTTTGGAAAGGACTCATTTGGGGAAGTCGAGTATGGGGTTCAGGGAAGTAAACTGGTAACTACCCCACAGCTGGTCGAGTCATTGAAGAACATAGATGTGGTGCAAGCTGCAATTGGGAATTTCTTTACAGCCGTATTATCAAGAGAAGGAAGGGTTTATACATTTTCTTGGGGGAATGAGAGCAAACTTGGTCACCATACAGAGCCAAATGATTTGGAGCCCTATCCTTTGTTGGGAGCACTAGAGGATATACCCGTGGTACAAATTGCAGCTGGATACTGCTACCTTCTTGCTTTGGCTTGTCAACCTAGTGGCATGTGAGCTTCCTCGTTATATCTTTAGATCGGAACATCATTCTTATGCGATTCAGAAAAGTTTCTAACCAGTAATAACGCAAGTAATTTGTCATTTTTACTAAATTTGTCTTTTCTTATTTTATAATTTGGTCATATTTATATGTGGAATGATTTTCCTGACAGATTCATACTTATCAGTTTGTCATTAACATTTAATGTGTCTTAAATGACACGTATTGGTTATACACTGCCAAATTTTGACGGCGAATAATTTCTGCATTGATTCTATGAAACTTAATAGATTTGCCTTTCGTCATTAGCTTTCCACTATTTCAATGCTTTCAAGTTAGTTGCCGTTTACAACTTCCGGAAAAACAGTTAATTGTCTTCTACTGTGATTGTATCATGCTGGTATTATTTCAGAATCTATAAAAGAATCCAACTTACTAATTTTACCTCATACAGCAGGATACACTATTATTAATGCCTGTTATTTCATGAAAAATATGTATTCAGATAGTGTGCTCTTCTCTTGGTAATATATCAGGTCAGTATACTCAGTTGGGTGTGGCTTGGGTGGGAAGCTTGGACACGGTACAAAAACCGATGAGAAGTACCCAAGGTTAATTGAACAGTTTCAAACTTTGAATCTTCAGCCTGTAGTGGTTGCAGCTGGTGCTTGGCATGCTGCAGTGGTTGGAAAGGATGGAAGGGTTTGCACATGGGGTTGGGGGCGTTATGGGTGCTTGGGTCATGGGAATGAAGATTGTGAATCAGTTCCTAAGGTGGTTGAAGCATTGAGCAATGTAAAAGCTGTTCATGTTGCTACAGGGGATTATACGACGTTTGTGGTTTCTGACGATGGGGATGTTTATTCATTTGGGTGCGGAGAATCATCTAGTCTTGGACATAATACTGCAGCTGCTGATGAACAGGTCTGCCTTTCTCCTACTCTACTTTCTGAAATTGTTAAAAATGGCTTTGCTCTGCTTAAATATAAGGTTTTGCCTAAATCCCAGAGTATATGAACAGGGTTTGAAATTTTTTTACAGCAGTATAATCAACCTTGTTTTCTCTTCAATGAGCATTTCCTCTTTCGGGTTTATGTTTCAAACAAGTCGTGGCTAACATATCCTCCAAAAGTGGTGGCTAACATTGAATAATTCTTGCTGGCTTGGTCACTACCAACTTACTACTTGTATTTTGATGCCATCATATATTGTTCTCCATATTAATTCAATGACGATGCAATATGCACACCGATTTTGAAGAGAGAAATTACTATGCATGTCAAATTACTGCTGATCTGTGGAACAGCACATAGAGACCTGGTGCATTCTTGAATGTTTTATGTTGTCATGAACAGAAAAAAAAAAGTTGCCATGAGCAAAGCAAAAAAGTTTATTTAAAGATTGATGCTATATTAGTCTTAATATTATGAAGGGGTAGCAAGTTTGGAGTGCTTTTGGCCAATATAATGTGCTTTTTTTTTGTTTTGGGTTGGGGTGTGGTGGG